ACGGCAACGGTCGAGACATGCACGCACACCGATTGCAAAAGAAGAAAAAGAAAGGAGAAAAGAGGAGAGAGGGGAAAAGAAGAAGAAGAAGAAGGAAGGGTCGGTCGGTCGACGATGCGGCCCGGAGAGAGAAACGATAGGGGTATGAAACGCGAAACACACGCGATATATATATATATATATATGTGTACCCCATCGACACCGGACGCCTGTGTAACGAGCGACGCAAAGGACCCGCCGATCCTCCTCAGGTAGTGGAGAGAAATCGAAAGAGAGAGAGAGAGAGAGAGAGAGAGAGAGAGCGTTGTACGACCGAGAAACGAGCAAAAAGCGAAGGAAGCGCGGCCAATACACGCGGGGACGGAAACAGAGGCGTCCAGAAAGAGGAGAAGGGTGGTGGAACCGAGGGAGGAGCGATCCGTATTTTCGCTCCTCTCTCTCTCTTTAACCGCGCTTTAATTTAATTACCTCGCTCTGCTACCACTTAATTGCCATCCCTCCTGTAAACTGATACATATTTTTTTATTCCTTCTCGCGATAGAAAGAGGGAAGAAGAGGGAGGATCTCAGGGGTGGACGAGGTAAGGAGAATCGTGGAATCGAAGCGAATGCGTCACCCTCGCCGAGTCTCTCGCGGGACGTGTTCGACGCGACGCCGACGTTAAGAGACACACGGAAAGGAAGCGTTGGTGTGCGCGTGTCCCCATCGAGTCGCGTGGCCCCATATCTTAAGAAGTAGCCAAGGGGGGTCCGGCGAAGGACGGCGAATGGGGACTAACACTGTTTTATCGTGTAGCCAATTAATAACGTTTCCCTCCGTCCCTTCCCACCTCTCCCGGCCCGCTTTCGCCGGGAAGAAGAGATCTTCGCTTAAAGATACCCGGCCTCCGTTCCCGGGGACCCCCGGAAAGCCGAGGCCAGCCTCGTACCCGCTCCACTTTGCGCCCCGCGCCACCTCGCCTTCGACGAGACGAGCGGAGAGAGAGAGAGAGAGAGAGAGAGAGAGAGAGAGTGCAGAGAGTGTTTGAAGAGAGCGAGAGGAGAGAAATTTGGGAAATCTGACATTAAGAGGGTTTTTGCTTTGTGATGTTGCAGCTTACAGATTTGTCTCGTATCGTCCTGCTGCAAGCGATCGTTCCAGTGTCCTGTCGCAGCCAGGCATCGTGTCAGTGTGGAAATGCATAATTACAATAGAATTTACGGTATAAGTTGTGTTAAATCAATGTTAATCGCTGTAGCGAAGTGGGGTATTACAATAAATACATTATTTTATGTAAAGTGTCTTTCTTTCTTTTTATTCCGCTATTTCTCTATCCTAGGGTAGAAATGGGAGAGAGAGAGAGAGAGAGAGAGAGAGGGATGATGAGACCCCGAGTTCGCCTTCTTCTTCTTCTTCTTCTTCTTTTTTTTCCTCTCCACGATCGTTCCCGTCGCCGAGGGAAAAGAAAAGACTCGTAAAGAGGAGCCAGTGCGAGCTGTGCAACTGGTCGGCATCTGGGATGAGCAATTAACGGAAGGGTTTTCGCCTGGCCTTCGCCTCCACCCTCCACCCGTTTCACCATCCCCGCGCTCGTTGACAAGCCATTTGATTTATAACGAGCTTTTATTTTTTAATCCCGGCCCAACTGTCACCCTTCTCGCTCTCCCGCCCCTCCCCACCTCCACCCTCCGTTTCCAACCTTCTTTTCGGAAATTTATCGTTCAATTTACCGCCCCGACTCGAGGCGAAGTCGCCACTTGAACGAGAAAGAAATTGCGAGGCGACGATTTCGCGAACGGAAGCGAAAGATTTTGAAAGCCGTCCTTCACGAGAAGAAACCTTCGTAAACCTCGAAGGTTTAATTCGGGGCGTCCCTGGGAGTATTCAACCCTCGGGACGGGTTACGAAATGACTTTACGACAGGATCGCACGAGAGGGTGGATCCAAGGATCGTCCAAGGACAACGAGCGGGGAATTGGGAAGAATTGGAAAAATTCCTGGATAATCGATAAATATAACAATGATATATATATATGATATATATATATTAATCTCGAGAAGAGAATCAGACGGTTAAAGGAGCGTCTCCTCGATTCGACGAGAGGCAATTTCGCTTGGAAACGGAGCGAAAATCGGCGCGAGCGAGGGGGAGGGGGAGCCGGGTTTGAGCACCTCTTTGTAATTTTACGTTGCCGTGGGGTGGCTAAAGCTGACGCAGTGGGATAGGTGGTCGAGAGGTATGCCCAGTAGCCAATTCCCGGCTCTGGCCTCGACTCGCCGGGTCCATTCATCGCCGAGCACTACGTGACCGGTTTACCAATCCACCTCTTCCTACATCAACACCCCCTCTCTCTCTCTCTCTCTCTCTCCCTCCCTGCCCCCGTGCCTCCACCTTTCTCGCCTGCCACCAAAGGCCCGCGCTACCTTCGCGTACACTACGTGTACAGACAACCCTCCTTCCTTCCTTCCTTCCTTCCTTTCTCGAGAAGTCATATCGACCGGGTCGCTTCACCAATCTATCCTCCCTATATCTCCCTCCGCGTTTCTCCAAAGACAAGTTTCACCTTCCTTTTCGAATTCCTTCTTTAATTCGAACTTCCTCGCGCGTTTCTCCCCAAATTTTTCGACGACGCGCCTACGCGTTCGTTACGTCAAGGAGAAGAGGAGGAGGAGGAGGAGGAGGACGAGTGACGCGATGATGACATGTTAATGTATGGATACAGCCGCGTCTGGAGAGGAGGAGGATGGTGGCGAGCACGAGCCAAACGCCCTTCCCCCTCGCCTCTCGATGAGTTTCTCTCGTTCGAAAGAAAGAAAAAAGAAAGGAAAGGAGGGAACGAAGGTCCCGACGATCATCCTCCCGAGTCATTGTCGCCCTGCCTTCTTCATCTGCATACAATGCAACGGAGAGACATCTCCGTACCATCCCCGTTCCGGGGATAGCCCTCCTCCCCTCCGGACCGCCCTTCGACCCGACGTATCATCCGAATGTCGTTTAATATGGCCGCCCATCGAAATTANAGCGAACGAGCGAACAGTGGGAACCCTCGTTCCCTCCAATTTTTCCTCCTCCCGTTCCTTATCCATACCGATGATGCTTGATGATAATGACGGAGGAAAGAGGAAGCGGGAGGTCGAGCCTTAGTGTAAAGCAGACGTGCTTGCTTTGACGTCGCGTGCTGCTCCCTTTTCAACCGAAACAAGTGGCAACAGTTGCGGTTTATGAAATTGAATCCAGCGCGAGGAGACGCTTAGTCGAAAAGATATTTTCCATCCTCTCTCTCTCTCTCTCTGTCTTATCTTATCCTCGAGAAGCGTGTCACTTGTATGAAAAGAAAAAAAATTAAGTAGAATGGCAATTTTTCCAACCGAGGATAAACCGTCCCTCGTATTTGTCGCGAGTGGTGGCGCAGGGACGATTTATATATTTAGAGGAGAAAGGGGAAAAGAAAGAGAGAGTAGCTCGACCACTCTTTAATAATAACAATAATAATAATAATATCCAGCACGAGCGCAGTCACCTTTATCTCCGCTATTAACCCCCGCCAAGTAATTAAATTAAATGATCCACGGTCCCTCGATCATCCGGCTCGTAAGTGCCTATTTATCCCGACACCCTTCAAAACGTTATACGAAATCTTGCGCCGCTACGCGCGCGCCGCGTGAATCCCGAATCGACCACCCCTCTCTACAAAATTCCAATCGAGCCTCGTAGCTCGCCGAATCCAACGAAACCACTTTCTTCTTCTTCGAGAGAGGAAGAAGAAGAAGAAGAAGAAGAAGAAGCCTAGCAGTGGCCTCGAAGATCGAGATTGTTCGAAGATACATTCGTATATACGTATATATATATATACACACGGAGGGCCCCCTTTCCGGGGCCGATAGAGGTTCACGTGGAGGAGGAGAAAGAAGCAGCGAGGGGGTGGCGGCGTCGAGGGGCCTCCGCACGAAGCTCGCACGCGTTATACGGTAGGGTCGAACGGCGTTGCTGGCAGCCTCGTCCCCGGGGAGCTGCGTACCATTTTGCATAAATCGCGAGACACCCCGCCCCACCGAAACCTCGGGGAGTTGGCGGAATAGCTCGAATCCGGCGCAGCGATCAGCCAAGGGATGAAAGTGGCTAAGCGAGCTTCAGGATATTTCCTTTCCTTTCCCTCCTTCCTCTCTCCTTCTTTCTCTTCGAGACAGAGAAACTCGCCGACAACTCCTTTCGATACGCTTTTCGCTCTTCAAAGTGGACGCTGGACAACCTCCCCGAGAAGAGGAGGGAGTCGAGGCTTAATTCGACGATAAAGGCAATATGCTTTCTCTCGCGGTTAAGCGGGAGCGGTATCGTTTTATGGCCGGTGTGTGGCGGCAAGTTTGAGAGTGGTGGCGCACGAGGGATGCGTAAGAGGGATAACGAGGAGTGGAGGGAGAGAAGAGAGGCGGAACGCGTGTTTTGGCGTAGGAAATACGAGAGAGAGAGGACGATTTTTCTTTTCGAAAGGATCCCCGCATTGGTTGAACGATCGATCGATGGATCTTGCTGTCCCCGTGGAACATCCTTAGACTAGTGAAATTTCAAATGAATCGGATTCGAGGCGTTAAACCTTAGGCTTAGTCGCAAGTTTCATCGATAATGCCTTCGACTCTTCCCTTTCCACGCGTGCGATGGAAACCGCGAAGTATCTCGCGGTCGGTCGAATTTGGAAGGAGAGAAAGGGGATCGAAAGGACAGAGAGAGAGAGAGAGAGAGAGAGGGAGAGGCCCTTGCGCAAGTCCCATATACACGACTATAAGTTAAGATTAACCTTGCTTAGCGGCGTGGAGAGAAGCGAGAGACCGGTTAACGAACGAGGACGTTTGATGGGATTAATTTATGTCCAGTTTGGTAACCGAACCGACCGATACGAGGCTCCATATCAGGGGAGAGGCCGAGAGAAAGGGACCGAGTATCGTCGAGCCGGTCGTGTTCTCGAAGCCGGAGACCTCGGATTTAGGGAATAACTTTGAGGCCCTCGACTTCTTTTCGACTTTCTCTCTCTTTCCAACAGACTTTCCCACTCCACTGATCGTGACCGTCTCTTCTAAACCCGCGATCCTCGTCCCGAGGTGAATGGACGATAATCGCGTTTGTCAAACGCGCGCGTTTCCTCCTCCCTGGAAAAGACGATTGGAAAGATTCGATACGATCTTCGTCGAATCGAGACGTTTGTTGAAAGAAGTTGAAACGCTTCTTTCGATGCAACTATTCCATGGGATTCAACTTTCTCGCGTTGAAACGATTTAATCGGGAGCGCCCCTCTAACGGTAAGCGTTGTATCGGCGAACCTTGGCCCCCGTTTATTACTCGGATGGGTTTAATAAATGGCGCGTTGCGAGGAGGCGAGATGGTATCGGGGCGACGATAATAAAGGCCCCGGTCTCGGCCCATTGGGCACCGATCGCGTACCACGCCGACGGCGCTCCGCTTCGCTGTACAAACTCCTCGCCAAAGGAGGAGAAACGTCAGTCGGCCAACCGATGAAAAATTTCTTTTAAATCGTCCGTCTAATTGCGATTTGACGAGGTCTCTCTCTCTCTCTCTCTCTCTCTCTC